TATCCAAATCTACTGAAACTTGGATTCTGGTGCCTAAGAATGTAAACTTAAATTTTGAAAGTGATTTCATAATTCTAGCTACACTACAAAATAGGTAGTCTAATAGGTTTTCAATTCTCCTAATACATTATTTCATATTGTAATAAACTGAATTTTTTTTGATTATTTTTATTAATCTGATATCTATTCTGTGCAGGGTTAATTATATATTATGTAATATACTAAATTGTTATTGATTTTAATCTAATCATGATAGTTGATTATTTGTTAGATAATTATTTTGTTTGTTTTATATTGAGAATTTTTGAACATATTTTAAGTAATGAACATTAAGTGTACATAGTACGGATAATCTACTTGAAATACTTTTATTAATAAATTATTATGATTAAAAGTAATCATATCCAAAGTTGTTTGCTCTTTCTAAGTGTGATTTCATAATAAATATGATATTTTTCACAACATTCCGGACTTTCAATACTGAAATCATTAAAATCTGATTATAAGTATTAAACATTAAATGCTTGAAAATAATTTAAATGTGTTATTTAATTAAATATTAGATAAGTAGAACCAAAAATAAACAAGTTATTAAAATTGTGTTTGTTAAGTTTTACTGTTATTTTTATTCTCTCTCTCTCTCTCTCTCTCTCTCTCTCTCTCTAATCAGGGGAGTTTTTATTTATTCTTTGATTAAACATTTATTAATTTTTATACAATATTTAATTTTAAAAAGTGTTAATTTAATTAATGAATTTGCATTTTGAAAAGTGAAAACCCAATGCACTGTACGGTTAAAAAAGTCACAACACAAGTGACATAAAAACATCCAGCTTTTCGCTCTCTCTCTCTCTCTCTCTCTCTCTCTCTCTTATAAAGTTTGATTTAAAACAGTATAAAAGTACCTAAAATAATAATATAATAATGATTACAACAGAGTTACTATTTGTCCAAGATCTCACAACCAAAATAACTTATCAATGAAAAGTTACTTACAGAACAATATTTAATGTATGTTTTGACAATGATCACATATGATTCTAGATTAATTTATTTATTTAAATATATATTTTTAAAACATTTTGTTTTTATCATGTCAAATTTTAAATTACAATAACTTAAATTAAAAAACTAAATAATTTATCACGCTGATAAATAGTTATTTTGTTTAAATAAACAGAATTTGTGTTATTATTTACGCCATTTGTTTCATTATTGTAACACATGTTACCATTAATTTGACGCTGGTGATATTTGCAGTAAAATGTCAAACAATCAACATGCTTATAAACTATATTTATATTAACTACAAACTGTATGACATGACATAGATCCAATTTCTGTGTTATAATAAATTATATAATTCATCTTAAATTAATTGTTTTAAGACTAAGATCTAGGTTAAAAATACATAATATTTTTTTATTGAGGTTATACAAAAATTTATGATGTAAAAATAACCGGAATGTAAATAGTATAAAAGTCAGACTAATTTACCAACATATTTTAACCCTATTATTAGCATTTATACTGTAATTTACTAAATTGTATCTAGTCACTATATTGATAATATGACCATAATTACAAGTGTATTATTTGTGAGTTTAGTATCATGCTGTTGGGCCCAAACGCGAACAATTGGCCAGGCTGGATTGAACTTGCTGGAAGTATCGGAAGGGTTTGTGGCCACTTTTTACGCTGATCAAGTTGTAAGTTGTATATCTATAAAGTGCAATAATGATACAATAATAATATATATTTTGTGTAACCAGGGTCAAATAACCATCGGCTACGGACACGCTTGCATTTGGCATAACAATTGCGTTGATATCACCCCTCCCATTACTATGGACCAGGGCGTTCAGATACTAATGAGCGATCTAGTTGAGTTTGAAAATTGTGTTAACGCTGCCGCGCCCCAGCTCAATCAAAATCAATTTGACGCGGTTAGTTAACATTATTACTAAAATTATTATTTAGATTTATTTTATATCTATATAAACAAAATTTGCGTATATACCCCAATAATCATCTATATGATTTATAGTTTTAAATTATGATAATAGTTATCATAATAGAACTTACAGTCTTTAATTCTCTCTCTCTCTCTCTCTCTCTCTCTCTCTCTCTCTCTCTTTTTACAAATTTATACAATATTTAATTTTAAAAAGTGTTAATTTAATTCTTAAATATTAATTAGTATATTTAGTAATGTACATAAATTGTACATTGTAAGAATAATCTGCTTTTCACTTCAGCATAAT